TGGCATGGAAACATGTGATCTCTCTTTCTTTGATGTGTACTCTATCCAGCTCCCCTGCAGACTGAAGGGAGATTTCTGGTGGCAACCTACACCTGGTTTTAGCCTAAGCTTCTCATAGGGGTAGTCCTGTCTCAGGGCAGAAGGCACTACCTGCTACTCAGAGATGCCTTCCAGTCCTGTGTTAGTGTCGCTCATTTGAGCTTGGCTGTAGAAAGACAGGAAAATATTTCATTTCAGACAAGTTAATGAACTCCCATTTTCAGCCCTTAGTCCTTTAAATAGAAGAACAGGAAATATGAGTAACTTGCAACATCTGACAGAAAAGGAAAGTAGCTGCTTCATTCTTTTATGGCCTGTTACCCTATTGAACAATGACGTGAGAATGTACTGGGACAAACCTGATGAGGTGCTCTCTGCCACGAGGTGCCTATTAGGCTGTTTGTTTTCCCCCTATTTAAAGGTGTCATTTTCCCTACTATGGATCCTGAAAATACCCAAGGTAACCACATGCCCAGCACTGGCTGAGAACCCAGAGTAGCGAATTGTTATTGCAAGGTCTGCCAAACAATTTCACATCTGGAAATTATCCACTTTACAAACATATTCTTTATAAAGAAGTAACGTCCTCCAGGTTTTAGGAGGGATTTCCAATACACAATGGGGGAAAAACTCTTTTGCAAAAACAGAGCGATTAAGAATTTTAGCTTACCCCAGCAACCCTGGAGTGGAGCACCTGGCTGGATACTCTGGGTGCCAAGAGTGCAGACAGCTGTGTCCCTGTGTCCTCCTGTTCCCAGGAGATTGGTGATGTGCGGTACCCACATTCAGCTGGCACAACAGATGGGCCCCAATATCTTTTTGGCTTGAATTGTTTTAGCAATTCATACCCACAGTGTTCCTTGTGACCCAGGACAGGTATGTTTTATTGCTATTCAGGACATGGGTGGACCCTTTTATACCACTCTCCTTTTTCATAGTTCAATTGTTTCCAGCCTTCCTCACTGGAATTGAACTAAATATAAAAGGGAAAGGAAAAGGGAAAAGGAAGGGGAAAGAGAAATGGAAAAGAAAAGGGAAAAGGAAAGGGAAGGGAAGGTTTGGGAAGGGAAGGTAAGGAAAAAGGGAAAGGGAAAGGGAAAGGGAAAGGGAAAGGGAAAGGGAAAGGGAAAGGGAAAGGGAAAGGGAAAGGGAAAGGAAAGGAAGGGAAAGGAAGGGAAAGGAAAGGAAAGAGGAACGGAAAAGGAAAAGGAAAAGAAAAGGAAAAGAAAAGGAAAAGGAAAAGGAAAAGGAAAAGGAAAAGGAAAAGGAAAAGGAAAAGGAAAAGGGAAAGGGAAAGGAAAAGGAAAAGGAAAAGGAAAAGGAAAAGATGTGTTTCAGACATATGTGGGAAGATGGAAGTAAAAGACTGCTTTAAAGTGCTTCCAGGTCTCAATCTTAGCTTGAATAAAGTTTTGATAAAATCTAAAATAATTTCTCAGTATTCTTTGGGCAAGCTATGAGAAATAAGAGTCATCATTCATAGAAAAATCAATGTGGAGGATGCAACAATTGTGTGTCAACTCTTCACTTCAGCCACTGAGGAGCATGTATTGATGAAATGGTGCCTTGCTGTGCTGTAGGCTCAGGGCAGATGGATTTCCCAAGATATACACAGAAATCAAAAGAAAACTTGGCATCATATGTTAATGAGCAACCAATTACACTGCAAATAATGTGTTGAAGCCACTTATCTGCCACTTGTAAACATGACAGCTCACTGATCCAAAGCACATAAAACAATGCTGCAGCAGCTTTTATCTCTGAAGAGCTGGAACCAGAGCCATGCCGGCAGTGATATAAAACCTGTAATCTAAAATTTAAACCAGATATTGCTGTGCATATCAGGAAAGGCTTATACTTCTTTATGGATAGTAAGACTAATAATAACTCTGACTATGACAAAGTTTTTATTTTTGAAAGACACACCCTCTCCTACTTCAGCATGCAGATTAGTCTCTTCCTGCAAGTGACAATAATCCAGACTGAATGAGACCATAATACACAATGTTAAGCATTATTTTGGATAACTGGCCCTGGGATATAATCTCTTCCTAAACCAATGTGCACGTGTAAGATTGTCCTCTGATTACACTGATGAGAATGGTCTTCCCAGGAAAGGCCAGGCAGCTATCACAGGCTGCTGTAGCAGTTTATGCAGTTTTTCTTATCAGCATCCTGAGCAGCCCGTTCTGCCTAGATAAGGAGTTTGATGCTAAATTCAACCTTCCTGTCTCTGGTAGCTGCTTCCCCCTTCCTGTGAATGCTGTTTACATTGGGGCAGTCAGGACATGGCTTCTGAGCACACTCAGATTGCTGACTATTCCAAAGCTCCTGGCTGAAGGATTTATGCTCACTATCACATCTATTGCAGTGTCTTAGAGCAAGGCCATATTGCTTGCCATCAAATGGGGATTGAAAAATCCTATGGATACTTTACAAATATCCTATCACCATTCAAGAGTGAACATTTTTTTCCCCTCTGTAGACAATCACATTTTTTAAATAGAGGAATTTAAGGCATTAAGGAGCTAGAATATTATGTGCTGGTTTGACCGGTATGAAAATGTCTCCCTTCTCTCTGCCTCCCAGTTCTTTATCAAAAAGTTCTGAGGCTGCAAGGGTTTCAGTTTCACTAAACTCTCATAAAAAAACTTCAAGATCTTTTGCTTATATTTGAATAATAGTTATAAACCACTGTCTAAGAGGGCTTTACAAGCCCTGAATATATTAGTTCTTATATCTAAATATATTATCTGTGTTAGCTCTTGTCTCTAATACCTATTTCCAGGAAACAGATTTCAAAATACTGCAGGAAACCCTTAAGCAGGGGATGGGAGGATGGATTCACACCTGACTTCTGGGCCAGTCTAGGAATCTTAAAAGATTCCTAGAAAGGACACCTGCCATGTGAATTTTTGTCCTTGCTTTTGGCAAATGGTGGGTATTTGAACTTCTCCCTGCAGCATGCTATTTTTTCACTAACGTGTATCTTTACTTTGAAGCAAACAAAAAGCAATGGCTTATTTCTTGCCTGAAAACATGTTTTCACAAAACTTTCCTATATGAAACCTTTCACAGGTGTGCTACTCAGCCTTACTTGATCCTATATGCTCGAGTAAGCTTTTAGTGCAATTGTTTCTCCTATTAAAAGAAAGTAAGTAAAGAATGAAGATCACTCACCTATGGTGTAACTAGGCAAAATTTAGATGATATTCCCTATTTTACCGGTAAAATAAGCAAACTCTAGTTTCATGGTTTAGATATGTTTGTGCTTCCAGTTAAAAGCACCTCATCACTTCTGCAGAAACAGACACAACTTCACCGGTTAGTGGAAATAACATTTACTTCCATCCATTATAAATCTGCTTTGTACATAAAAACCTTCTGGATTCCCAAAGAACCAGAAAAGAGTTTAGAGAGTGAAACTTCACCCAAACCTCAGCTGTGGCTCATGGCCATGAACTGCAGTATGCAGGTGTTAGGACAATTCTCATGCCATGTCACAGATTGCTCTGCACCATCTCTGGTCTACATCACTTTCCTATATAGACAGGATTTTTTTTTTTATTATTATTTCTAAATCTTAGACTTTTACCGCTTCCTTTTTAAGAGTTAATCATCTTGGGTGATGTGCTAATAAATTTTGTATTCAACATTAGAAGATCCTAACATACACAACCTCTACTTGCCAAAACTATTGAACATTTTCAGGGAAAATTAATTTGGGCAGGGTGAGGCAATTTAGTTTTTCTACTGATATTATCAGAGGATAAACACAGATAGATATACCTACATACACACAACACAGAGTTTTTTATGCTTCTTTAGCTGACAGCTAAAGAAGTTAATCCACTCCAGTATTGGTCAGGGACCACTTCAGGACCATTTCGATGATGTCGTACAAAACTCAAGTGGAGTTGCTACAGATCTGGCTACCCCACTTATAATCACACTAGTAGGAGGCAAACGCAAGAAGCCTCGGTTCGTTGAATGTAAACCTTCATCAGTCTAGAAAAGCACTCGGCGGTGTTGCTCTGCCCTCTGCAGACTGGACTGTATAATCACATATTACCCTCGACTAGGTACTTAAAAAGCACATCTCACTCAACAGAAAAAAGTTGCCAGTGTGAATGAAACATTCATAAGTGCTACCTTCTACTTGTGCACTGTGACAATGCAAGCTGTAAATAAGTCAGGCATACTCCTGAAGCAGTGGGTGCTTTCTGTGTGTGCTCATGCAGTCCACACTGCCCATTAAGTCAGGGAAGTAATTATTGCCTGAATAGCACCAATGCCTTGAGTCCAAATTCAGGATGAGGTACAGGAAATATTTATGTCTGTCACTAATAACTGCCAGGCAAACACGTATGCATGCATTTCTTGATGGTGGAGAAACAAGTTCCAACTCCCATACGCAGAGCAACTCCTCCCAGGTACTAAGAACAGTTTTCTACAGCAAGATCCAGGGCACAGCAAATGCTGTCATTCCTTGACTGATCTCCCTCTTTCCTGTGAGCAGTATGATGCTAGTGATAACCCACTCTGACTGACACACCAAGGTACCAGCACCCCACTCTGCAAGATATGCCACCTTCCACAGCAGCTGGCTCCACCTTTTATCCTAGGTAAACATCTGAGAAATGTGGCAAATGCATCCATCTTTATGACCTCTCCATAATTTAATGTACTCTCCTCATTATCTCCAGATAATGAGGATATTACGGCCAGTTATCTGGTAAAGAATGTTAAAGCTTATTCAATTCTCTGCTATTTGCTGCATCCCCACTGATGTGAGAAAACACACACAACAGGACTTTACTGTTTCTTATGAGCTGGACAATGTTTTTGTACTAAGGGCATATCATAACCCTTCTGACAGAAAATATGGTCCTACATAATTTTGATAAGGCTTCTCTTGGATAAGAACAACACAGTAACATTTACACAAAACACAATTCAGATTTGTTCCAACTTTTCATTTTATTAAGTGCTGACATTTGAAAAGTAGTTCTCTCAAAGCACAGATGTCAAACCCCAGGCATTGGATGCAGCCCTCATAAATGAGCAGCACCTGATGTTCCTTACTCCGCCTCCCACCTGTCTGTGCTTATCGGGTGTCACACAACAGACAAAACTGGTCAGGTCTTGTGCAAAAAGAGCCTGGCAGGAAGAAAAATTTGCCTACACAGTTCCCAACATAGTCCCTCTCCTATTGTGTGACTACCACATGTGCTGGTTACATGACCCAAAGACTCACATGTCAGGAAACAAGAGAAGTGGTAGTCTTTCAGCAAGTGGCAGCATTTGCAGAATACCTTCAGTACAAAACTGAAATAGGTGTTTGAGAAAAAAAAAATCTTTATTCAACACAATACAGTGCAGAGCTTGCAATATGTAATGCTATTATGCTTCTGTAAGTTGAATAAAATGGCAGGTCAAGACCCTCAATAATGACTCTTCTGAGCTATATTTAGCATCTGGCTTGGACACCCTCCATGTTTTGCAGGTAAGACAAGTGAAATGTAGTCAGAACAGCACATTAAAATTTGATGAAGAAAAGCTATAAAATGTACTATGTATATCTGAACGGCATTCCTATCCAGAAATACTGCAGGAACACAGATTTAGAAAAGTTGGTATGAGATTAAACCACTGACTACATTTCCATGTGAATGCTTTTGTATGGATTATCATTTTGTCATCCTTCATGGCTTCTGTTTTGTTGAGATGGAGGGATCTGCTGCAGACTAATGCTGCAGACTAGAAAATTTTCATGCATATCACCCAAGCAAAATAAAAGCCTCAAATTTTCACCTTGTCCATTTCAGAAATGGAAATGTTATTTTTAATTCCAAAGCAAAAAACTGGAGGAAAACAATGGTCACATTTATACTTAGCAAAACTGTGCTCTGGTACTTCCGTTTGACAACAGCTGAATGGCATTCTTAAACAGAAGTCTTTCCATATTCTGAAACAGAATTCTCTACATAATCCCTGTTATCTCAGATAACTGACATGGAAATATCACTTAGGGTCCAGGCTACATCTTAAAAACCTTGTGCAATCTGACAATACCTTCATGAAATGAACAAAAGCTCTAATTTTACCTTTTTCCCCTCACTTTCTTTTCATTTGAGGACTTTGAAGTGGTTTGTAACTGAGGAAAACAAAGGAAAGGAAATCAAATCTTAATACTGCTCCTCTTTCCAACACAATAATTATATTGAATGACACAGTAACTATTCCCAAATCTAAAAATATGGTAAATTCTGTAATGAAACCCAATACAATATGCACTATTTATGCACCTGTTTACAACTTCCCTTGGTCAAAGAGATGTCATATCCCACCATTCTACCAAGGCCAGAAACAAGTAACTATACTTGCATCAGTAAACCTGATTATTCTGGGGGAATGCTCAGGGTACAGGAGACATGCTCCTTTTTCAAGTCACGTAAGACTTGGTCTCATGACTGAGATGGGTATTAGGATTTTCCCTGTTTCTTACTCACAGTGCTGGTCCTCTGTAGCTTCTAAAACAAGCACTCAAGGAAGGGGAAGGGAAGCAGGATGCAGAGTACATCATGCCTCTGGTCACTGCCAAGATCTGCTCTTTCAGAGGGCAACGGATTCAAGAGATCACCTCCATAAGAAAGACCATGCGATTGTTTTGGAAAAGCTCAGAAACAGAACAAATGTACAGTTAGAACCATGAGCAGAACTTCGTAGAAAAGGAAATTGCTCTGTATAGCTAGAATTGCTCAAAGTAAATAATCTCAAATTTATTTGTATAGATACACATATTGCATAGCAAAAATATTGACAGACTTCCCATTTTGAGACACTTTTAAATGTAGTAAATGACAGGACTGGTAGTCCTTTCCTTCCTATCTCCTTGCATAAAACTCAAGTCTACCTCCTGTGTTATTTATACATAAAGAAAAGAAAGAGCTCATAAACTATAGTGACAGTGACTGTAAGCAAAACAATTCACCAAGTGACAATGTTACAGGTGGAAGGAAGTGTGTTGAAACAGGACAGTTACACTTTCTCAATACACAGTATTTTAAGGAGAAGTTGAAGGGAAAGCTACATGAAACTGAAATAAAATCTAAATTCCAACATCAGTGGGGATATATATTTTCTCACTCTTAAAAGCCTGAGCCTTTTTCCCTTGAAAATGTTGACAGAATACTCTTCAGAATATCTTTAAAATTGCACAGAATTTAATAATTACATAATAACTTGTTCACCTCTTGCAGTGAAGGCTGAGGAAAATTTCATTGTGGTAAAAGTGCTTAGTCAGAGGAAAGTGCTCTGAAGAAAGCAGTAGGAACTGGAAGAAAATTTTCAGCACCTGCAGTTTTTGGTTACTGGTGGGTAAAAGAAAGTAAAGTTCTGGGGGTTGCTGAAACCTTTGAGGTGAGAGCTGATCCCACAGTAATTTTTTAAGAGAGCAACCAACCACTTGCTCATTACCAGCAATGAGCAAAGCAGAAGAGTGGGATTAATTTCTGTGTTGAAATTCATATGCTTGTGTGTCATGGCTGTGTCCCAGCCCACCATTTTGAATCCAAGATTCTGCAGACATGGGAAATAAGGCTCTCTGCTAGATATGAGGAACAGTATCAAAGTGTTTTGCCCATGCCCAGGTCTGTTATTTCCTCTTCTCCTTTAACACTACTCAGCATGAGCTTTTTAACCTCATTTAGCTTCCAGAAAGCCTCATGTCATGTCATGTCAAACCACCACACCTCAAAATTTATTACAAGAATAATTCAACTCTCCACATTGCTTGCAAGACAGTTAAATTGAAAAAACAGGTTTTCAGGTTGAATTCTGGGTATTATAATCTATTTCTAGATATAAGTATTCAGGTTTCCACCTGTTCTCAGAAAACTGGGAAACAAATTGAGTTTATGACCTGTGTCCACACAAGCAGGTATCACACACAAGAAGACTTCATTCTCCATGTTTACCACAAACCCACCGAAGCTGCTGCTCTGTCTGGAGGTCAGTTAATTCATCAATGGATCTCCAGCTGCACTGACAAGCATATGCTCGTGCTCCTTTCTTCTTTATCATCTTTGCTCTTAGTTTACTGAGCTCAGGCATGTTATTCCTGCCAAACAAGTGAATTCAGCTTAGCATTATGCCTTTTTTTTTTTTTCAGAAAAAAGATTCATGAGGCTATTTCAAATCAGAAGAGCTTTTAAGGGCACTTCTGAGTACCACAGTCATGAATAAATTTAGGGATATATTTAAATTCTGTTTTGAACACAATCCTTTCCCGAGATCATTCTCGGTCCATAGTTGCTGTGTTCTCAGATCAACTAGAGATTGATGTTTTTGTAAGCAATGTTCTCTGTTGGGTTTAGAGACCTTGTGTCAGCCTCCAGAGAAAGAGCTGGGAAGAAAACCAGGTAGAATTAATTCTCATGTTAGGAAATTATCCAAAAATTTATTTATTTTATCAAACTTACTGTAAAAATCACTATGGAGAATGGGAACAACTATAAACTTTTCATCAGGAACTGTTACTCAGGATTGTTAAAGTGACTGAAATGAAATGGCCATAAGAGGGAAGAATGTACATGAAACCACAAGTAATTCCAGTGCAAGCATCAACAACAACAAATGAAAAATCAGCATGGCTATGACAAAAACAAGTTGTTTCCAAAAAAACGAGTCAAAATGTAACATTTTAGCTATCTCTACCCTCAAGACCTCCTCCTCAATTACTGGACACTGAATTGCTCAAAACCAACGTGAAATAGCCCAGCTAAATAAAGAAAACCCAAAACAAGTTGGAAAAGGGAAGAATTTTTAGAAAAAGAGTCCAGACAACTATTGATGGAAGGTAAATATTTAATCTTAAAGTTTGCTTCCTAAAATTCATGTTTGTCAAAAAAAATAGCTACAGATCTTGCTAAAGATTACAGATGATGTTACATGTATTTGACATTAACGCCTTCTTTTTTGTTGTTTTTGTTTGATTTAATAATTTCAAGATCAGAGAAGCAGAATAATTTAGACTTTGGGAAAATAAAAGAATCGTACTTTTGTTTATCCTTTCCTGCTACCAAACTCATCTTAGGAGATTAGTGCAGCACTATCTTTTTATTGCTGCTTAAGTAATGGGAAAAATATGGGCATTCAAAGAGAAATACAAATTTTGAGACTGGGTGGAAAATACAGGAATAACCAAAGATGTAATACTGGGAAAATAATGGAAAAGGAGCTGATATCTCCATTATTGTTCTACTCCATCTGTCATACCCCTTGCTGTCCAAGCACATACTCCGAACTCACTCACCTGTTCCATCAGTTAATAGGCACATGCAGAGACTGTACTAAAATAAATAGGAATCCAAATTTTATGTCTGTATTAGGAGCATGCCAACTACACTACCCTTCACAAAGTGTTGGCATTGGATGTAGTTTTAGACAAACTGAAAATAAGAACTCCTTAATTTTAAGTCTTCAAAAATATTTAAAGAATTAAAATCAAAGACATCACAATGTCAGAAGAAAACAAAAATACCACCCCTCCATTTAATCAAACCTTGCTTCAAGAAAGAAATCTGTTGAGAAATAAAGCTATTTGATTTTCACCAAACATGACAGCATAATACTTGATACTGGAAAAAAGAAAATATGACTTGAAACAATCACAGTCTGTATGACTGAAGGTGTAGGGAGAAGCACATGCTGAACAGTCTACATTTATTTTGTAGGCACCCTGCAATGGCATAGCAGAGGGCAACCCATCACCATGGATTATCTGCTTATTTCAGCAATAAAGTTGCCTTTGATCCATGAAACTTAAATTCTTTTTAAAAGCAGAGAGGGAGTGATGGAAGAAGAAATGGAAATGGATAAAAACAGATTATTGCTTCCCTCTCCCCACAGACTTTTCCACCTGATCTCAAACAGGTCACACACATGTTCCTTTTTAGGTAACACAGCAGGGCTCAGGACTTTTCATCCTTCCTGTTCTTATTATGCCCCAAAGCACAGTAACACAATACTACCAAACCCATCTCAGACATACCTGAAAAAAAGATAATCACAGGACTGATCCCAGATGTAGTCATTGAAAAGTGATACACGGAAGTCACAAGCAGTACAACGTAGTTGATCACATGTTCTGGTCAGAAAAGAACAAAAAGGTCCAAGAGGTTATTACAATCAGAGAAGTACCAAGATCATAATTGTTTTAAAGTGCAGCGCTCAGTGAGAAATACTAGAAGCAACGTTACCTGATCTTAATGTTTTTACATCTCTGGCACGTTCATTGTGGTATGTGATTTAACTGTACGATCAGGTATTATTTTTACAGGTTCCTAACCTCGCTGAACACAAAAAATAAACTCATATTCTCTTGATATATTCTTTGGTCTTCCTCACTGGTAGAGCACCGGACCAGCATCCAAATATGCATCAAGTACATAATTACTTACTACAAAAAATCCCACAAGGAAATGCAATAATGTTCTATAGGATGTTGTGGATAAATCTTCTCCTACTAAATTCAACTGCAGTTGCAAAGCACTCTGGCTATTTTCAGTTCAGGCTCTGGGATGATTTAAACCAGCCCACTGATTTAAGTCACATACTTGGCATCACCAGAAAGATGAAGAGAGGCAGGGAAAAATAACAATGCAGCAGCAACTTCCTTAACTACTTGTTACTGATTTTGGGAGTTTCGTATCTCATTTGCACACATTTTTCAACACTTCAAACAAACAAAAGATCTAGTGATCGACAACAGAGGACTGGAAGGGACCAGCTGACTTTAACTGCAGTTACAGGCAGCCCCTTCTTTAGATGACTATAAGGCCATCCTGTCCAGTCCAAATGCAGAACTCTGTACGACCATAGAAACACAGCCATGAATAAAAACAACGATAAAGGAAGTAGCACTTTTTTTTTTCAGGTTTCCTACCTTTTTGAAATATTTGTTCCTATGCCAGATGGTGAAGCGCTTCCACCCAGGTACACTGGACAGCATCTACATGGATTCATTAAAAAATACTATGTTATGGCAAAACAGGTTAGAGAAGGTAGTACAATGCTTCTCCTAGCTTAAAAGCATGGTATTTATACAATAATATTTATTAAATACAGGCAAAGAATCCCAATGCTTGCAAACTACAGAATTTTAAAATTTCCATTACCAAGGTGTTCAAAGAAAAACTCTGCCAAATCACTATACCAAATCTATAGGGGTCTATATATTGCAGCATTTGATAAATGTGTATGTCCATAAGGCAAAGGGAGAAGTTGTTAAAAAACTTAAATAATTAATAAATTTATGATAAATAATTTTGATCACATGAAAACACATGAGCAATGCTTCAAAACTATCTCTTTATCTTTGTTTTTCTTTAAAAAGAATGTTTCTGTACTCAATGTCTTTCTTAGTTAATGTCAACACAGATTAAACAGCAGCAATATTATTAAACTGACAAGAAGTTATAATCAAGCTATGTCCAACAAGCTAAAACATTTTTCACTTACTTTTTCCCACGTGCCTGTATAACAGCACTATTTCTTTCAGGTGTGAGACTTGTGAAGTTAGACTTCAATTTCTGTTTAAAAAGGAATCAAAGAATAAAATGTGGCACTAGAACAAGGTAACAATATTCTGTTTTATTTAATAAGCAGGAGCCAGAAAATCTCAGCCATAGAAGAAGGAGATTAAGGATTTGGGAATTTTCTTGGTCAGAGTTGTAAGGCCCTTTGAGACAAAAGATGCTGAAGTAACAGATAAGTGAGAACAAGGCTTCTCTTCCTGTATTGAATTTTCAGCTCTGCCTGAAGGAGTTCAACGCCACATGATCACTTTGACTTTACAATCGAGACTCAGTATTTCATGTCCTCCTTTTAATAATTTTGCTTTTAAAAACAGTTTTAATTTAGAAGCCCTCTCCCTCGATGTTTTTCAGCTTTTGTTTCATTAAAACACATCAAGAACTTATATTATTTATAAAGATAAAGTGTCTTCGAAAAGTTTCTTATTTGCTGCACACAAAACAGTTTATTTGAATTGCAGAATATTAGAATTCTAGATCTGAAATGGTAATTCTAGGGATATAAAATGATAAAATTATACAAATTTACTGACATAATTCTCTCTCCCTCAGATATACGTATTGTGGTATACAAGTGGTTTTTGTTGGCTCAGATTTAGCCACTCTGTAAAAAAATCAAGTAAAGACAAAACAAAAACAATAGCCCTAATGAAAATATGAGAATCTGCACAAGGGGTTATGAAGTATAAATACTGCTGATACTGAAAAGAATATCTGTTTTCTATGTCTTCTATCATTCTGAGTATCTTAACAATGTAAATTTGTGGCTTCATCTCCATCTCCTGCTGTGAAAGAAGACAAGTCATTTGCAAAGGATACAAAATGGGGAGCAGTCCTTGCTGTGTCAGATGACTGTGCTGCCATTAAGACGGACCTCAAATGACTGCAGAAATGGGCTGAGAGGAATCTCTTCAAGTTCATCTAAGGGGAACTGCAAACTCCTGCCCCTGGGGAGGAATAACCCTTATGCACCAGAACACAGTGAGGGCCGAGCAGCCAGAAAGCAGCTTTGCAGAGAAGGCTGTGGGAGATTCAGTTGATAACAGGTCGACCGTGAGCCAGCAGTGTGCCCTTGCAGCACAGAAGGCCAACAGCACCCTGGGCTACATTAGGAGGGATGTTGCTAATACATCCAGGGAGATGATCCTTCCTCTCTACTCAGCACTGGTGAGACAAAATCACAGAATCATTTCAGCTGGAAGGGACCTTCCTCTGCTCCAAGGAGGGTCAGCTTCAGCAGCTTGCCAATGACTGTGTCCAGCTGCGTTTTGAAGATCTCCACAGCCTGAGACTCCATAACCTCTCTGTGAAGATTGTCCCCCATGTTTGACCACACTAGCAGTAAAAAAAGTGTTTTCTTGTGCACAGGTGGAATTTCATGTGTTTCAGTGTGTGCCCATTGCCTGTTGTCCTGTCACTGGGCACTACAGAGAAGAGTCTGTCCCCTTCTTTACTACACCTATCAGGTATTTACACACACTGATAAGATTGCCCTGGAACCCTCTCTTCTCCAGACTGAACAGTCCCAGCTTTCTCAGCCTCTCCTCATGTGAGAGATACCCCACGGGCCTTTGCTGGAGGTTCTCCAGTAGCTCCATCTTTCTCTTGTATTTGAGAGACCAGAACTGGACACAGTACTCCAGATACGACCTCATAAACATGTATGGAGCACTATGTCCAGTACAAAGGAGACATGAACATAATGGAGTGGGCCCAGGAAAGGACCATGAAGGTGATTAAGGATCTGGACTATCTGACATATAGGTAGAGGATAAGAGAGCTCGAATTGTTTAGCCTGGAGAAGATAATGGTCAAGAGAACCTTATCGAGGTATAAAAATACATGCCAGGGAAAAATAAGGAAGACGTAGCCAAACTCTTCTCAGTGGGGCTCACTGACAGGAGAGGCAATGGGCGCAAATTGAAGTACAAGAATTTACAGTTAAACACATGAAAAAACTCCTTGTGAGGGTGGTCAAACACTGGAAACAGGTTACTTAGAGAGGCTGCAGTCTCTATCCTTGGAGATATTCGAAAGCCATTTGGACACAGACCTGGGCAAGTGGCTCTAAGCAGCTCTGCTTAAGCAGGTGGTTGGACCAGATGTTCTCCACAGGTCCCTCTTCCAACTGCAAACCTTCTGTGATTCTGTGATATTTGACATTATGCTCTATCTTGAACTAGCATTTCCTTTAATTGCCTGTTACTGCCTAGGTAAGAATATCTCTTTATATCCCTCCTGTTCCTCACTAAAGGATTGTTGCATTTTCCTTTCTGCTTTATTTTCCAAATTTATTCTACAGTTTGTTTTAGTTAATTTTTTGCTTAAAAATTTTAGCTTATGGTGCTTTCCTTTTCTTTCCGTTGTTGTACCTGATCCATTCTGCATGTCTCCAAACTCTACTCACCAGAGGTGTTTTGGTAAAGCTGCTGTCCTTACAGATTTCATCAATAATGTCATCTAGATCTTCTTTGCTGCTGCCAGCACTCATTACCAATTTAGCTGATCTGAAAAACAAACAAATCAACCTTCATTTTTGCAGCAAAATGAACTACAGCAGTTCTAAGAATTATAAGTTAAAAACAGTTACAGCCTTTTTCCTGTAATATTTTTGTAGCCATCCAAGTCATGACTGAACAGATGTAAACTGCAGTGACACCTTTCAGTCCGTGTTGAATTGTCCCATCATAGGTTTTATTTTTGCTTCTTCTTTTACTTCCAACCACTTTCAACCCTGAATAAAACTATGGTAAAACTATGCTGCACTTACTAGGCAATATATTGGACAGCCCTGATTTTTCACGTTAACCTTCAGCAGCAGTAACATGAAAATGTCAGAGGGAGTTGTCTCCTCATGCTACACAACGGGAATTCCTGCCAAACTGGATGCATTTAGAAAGGTCACCTGCACTTTGCTTTCACTCAAGTGACACTCAAGTCTGCTGTTTTCTAGCTCTTTGTCAAAGAAAGAGAGGCCTGCATCAACAAATCAAGAAAAAATTAGTCCTGAGAAAGAAGAAAACTGTCCAATTTTTTAAAAGTTTGTAATTAGATTGACTAAAATTGAGTGCTCATCTAATCATTATGCAAATAACAGGGAAGTCCAGTAATGTGGCCAAATGTAATGGGCTTTCTGCACTTGCATTATTCATTGGGCTCTTCAAGATCCTGGCCTGGGTCTCTGAAATGTCTGTTGGGCAAGTGCTCAGCAGCCCACCTGTGGAGCCCTCTGGTCCACAGACCTTCCAAAGGGAGTCTGAGATGTCTGTGAGGGTGGGGATGTAAACCTGAGTGTCAGGATGGAAACCCAAGGGTGGGTAAAGATGCCTGTGAGGGCCTGGATAGAAACCTGAGGGCAAGAAAAGACAGCTGTGAGGGCCTGGATGGAAGCCTGAGGGCAGGCAGTGGCAGGAGTGTGGCAGACAATGCTTGGCCGTACTGTCAGCAATGACCTTGTCAGGACCAAACCTGATGGTATTTGTAACATCACGTTGAAAATTGTGGAATTTGAGGCAGACACCTGAAAGTGTAGAGTCTAAGTTAAGTGCTTATTGTAGCAGATACAGTTAATAAATATCAACAGAAGACAGAGACATGAGGGAATGGTCTGAAGCTGTGTCAGGGGAGGTTTAGGTTGGATATTAGGAAAAGGTTCTTTACCCAGAGGGTGGTTGGGAACTGGAACTGGCTCCCAAGGGAGGCAGTCACAGCACCAATCCTGCCAGAGCTCAAGAATTCTTGAACAATGCTCTAAGGCACATGGTGTAATTCCTGGGGTGTCCTGCACAGCGCCAGGAGTCAGGCTCTGGTGATCCTTGTGGGCCCCTTC